TTTGGGTACCTTTCGGCTATTGTAAAGAGCTATACAAATAAACTTGATTTGATTTGACAAAGAACTGCTTCCCATTCTCAGCCCTCTCTGACAGACATGACCTGTCCACGTGCTGAAGTGCACAACATATCCCAGCTGGTATCCAGTTGACTGCGAGCATGTTTCACTTCTGCGAGGAACGAATCCTCTATAATTAGTCGCCTTACGTCTTCTTATACACAAAACAAAACCTCTGCAGAAATGCATCGCACAAACAAAAGCGTGTTGGGTAATAGTGAGAAGTACAAAGGGGAAATACAGAAAACCCACAAAACAGAAAGAAAATGTACTTCATCGGTAGGTTTGTTGCAAGTGATCAGCTACATGAGCCGAATCTGATTAAATACGCATAATTATGTTTGAGTCATGTGAGGTCAAATGTCCCCAGAAGTCAATGATTTAAGAAATAGCCCAGCTACTGTGAGCTACCTAAATAAAGCCATTGTTGTTAACATGCTCAGACACTGAACACAGTAATTGTGGACAGCGTTAGCCGGAAACTTCTTACAACACCAGTATTTCTGCCTGTCGTGTCACATCACGAGAGCTAGAAAAGGGTTGGGAATGACACATAATATTACTTTAACCATTAAATTACCCCATTTACACAGTAAGGTCTCTGCCTGTATGTGTATTTATACAGCGGTGGATAGCAGGCACAGCGCTGTAAGCTAACTGGGATTTACCGACATGGTCCACATCCGTTCTCACCTCTGCACACTCAACAGCCACATATAACCGGACACCCAGCTTCAATTCAGTAACTCGAGTGACAAACCCTTGTATATTCGGTTAATATTAGTCGTATTAGACTTTAGCGAAGACTAAAAACAAAACAAAAAGGGGAGTGAGTGCATATAACGACAACTAGCCTTCTTACCGTGGGCCGCAACAGCTCGTAGGCACAAAAGGAGGATGAAAACCGGGTGGTATTTTACCAAAGACATTTCTCAGCGAGCAACCGAGTGCTGGTTGTTTTTCACCTGCAAGGTTTCCCTGTCAAACGGAGACAAACAACGAATAAAACATGTATGTGTGAGGCGGCAGGAGAAGCGACCGGAGAGAGAGAGAGAGAGAGGAGAGAGAGAGAGAGAGTCTGTTGGATCTGCAGAGGAGAACTCCCCCCCGGTGCTGCCTTTCCCAAACCTCGTAAATTCACGCTGCCAAAATTACAAACCTCGTAAATTCACGCTGTCAACATTACCTGATAAACCAGCTGTTGTTGTTGTGTGTGTGTGTGTGTGTGGCTGAAAGCTGATTTAACAGGACCGTCAAAGAGAAAATAATCCACTAAATAATAAAACAATAATTTATTAGATGAATCGCGTGAAATTTAAATTTTTCCAATTCGTTCGTTGTTGTTCCTCGTAACACTCCCTTGAATTAATAAAAAGACTGCAAAGAAAAACAAAAACGCCATAACAAGAACAAGTAGCATGCATGGCATTGTTTTTGGATGATATGGTTTCTCTAATAAAGTCAACGACTTTTGTATTTTTCAAGTAATTTTTTTCAGGAACTTTCATTCAAACTCAAGCTTAAATGGTGATTTGTCCGACAGCACCTGAATGCAGCAAACGTCGTTTCGAGTGGGTGTCAGGATATCGGGAAATTACTAGACTTTTTTTTTTTTTAAAAGATCTCCTTATCCTTCCAGAAACTGATTAACTAAAGTGTTAACTCCACTGATAAACTACATAAATAAATACACCCTATGCTGTTATACAATTTACAAAATCCCAACATATAGCGTTGACTGTGCGTATTTCTATTAAATAAACAACATTTTAAAAACAAAATAAATATATGAAATGTGACCTCTGGTCTCTATTCTACCATCTTACAAGCTGCTGTGTGACTATCTGTGGGCTCCTCTCTTCTGTTCTGATTAGGACAAACATGTTGGCATACACTGTTTGAAGCTGAACTCTATGGGATACTTCCCCCATCCTGACGTCAGCTGGATGTGGGATTTTTCCTCCCCATCCCAGCCTCAAACCGAGCATTCACATATCAGCTCTACAGCAGCAACTTGAGGTGAGTTACACCCCAGGAAACTGGGAAGCTTAGCCTACTATCTGTGTACTGGCATTGATGACCATGTAGTGTACTTTAACAGCTGTTGAAAAAGGGTTGTTTGTCTCCTGAAGTTAACTCCTGTAGTCTTTAAAAAGGAACACAAAGCCAAGCCTGCTGTATATTCTCATATTACATTACATAGTTTGTGCATTCCTGTGCTTCTGTTATGTAATAGAAACATTCTCGCTAATCTGTTCTGATGGAAAACTGCAAAAACAAAAGTGTCAGATTAATGCTTCAGCTGCGTACGATGCTGGATCCTTTATTTCACTGTCACTTGTCATCCTACTGAATTTCTCCTGTGAATACATGAGACAGTAAGCAGTGAACGTATTCATTTCAGTGAGTTTTAACAGAGGAAACTTCACCCCCTGACTAACTAAAATGATTCAGTAGCCTAATACTTGAGGTTTGAGTCACCTCAAGTCCAAGTCAGTGATTTATAGCTAAGCCAGATATATGGTCAGACTCATTTTATTTTTATTGTTCTGGCTGGAAAGTCTTTTCAGCCAGAACACAGGAAGAAATATATTTTCCCCTCCAGTTGGACTGTGATACTCTTCACATAAGGAGGTGTGGAGTCACAATGAACAGCAAACAGTCGTATTCTCAATCCTGACACTCAGCCTTTCTTGTCCATCTTCATTTCCACCAAGCTGTTTTTGAATACTGGTGAACAGCTTCCTCACCTATCTGCCCCTCGCTCTCAGCATTATATGACATTACTACACATACATCATTTGTAGTGCTGTTGTTGGTGCTTAAGATAACGTCTGTTTCCCCTTTTAGACACTAGAAGCAATGGAAAAGAGTCAACAAACACATATATTTCTTTTTAATTCTTTCAGAAACAGTTGTTTTTAAAGGAACAGCTGGACATTTGGGGAAATATGCTTATTCACGTTCTTGCCGAGATGATGAGAAGATCAATACCTCTCTTTGTGTAAGCGATTCTAATCCAATACATATTTGTTTGTCCTCACGGTCTGCTAGCTTTCCGCTCAGTGTGTGCAACACTAACTTGTTATTCCAGCCAGGTGTTGTGGCCGGTAGTGTTAAATGAAATATGCTGTTGTTGTGAGGTTAGCTGTGTTTTAGCTATGGTAGCAGGAGAGTTGTGAGTATTGATGTCAGGTTCTGGTGCGCTCGCTCTGAGAAACCGTCTCATCTTCTCTGCATGTAAGCAACTTTAGCAACAGTTTGCCAACGCACAGCATGAAAAGAATCAACTTTATTTTCATATACATTTATACATAGTACAACTTAGTGAAACAGGTCCTCTCCACTGTACAGGCCTTGGTCAAGGGCTGGAGAATTAACCAAACGTACATCTTTTGCTAACGTTAGGTACATTACTTTACATGTGGTTGTTGGTAATATATCAGGATATTTATTAGGATATTGGATTTCTTAACCCACCTTTAATTATGACGCAGACAGCCATCTGTTTGCTTAGCAATAAAGACAGTAAACAGGGAAACAAAGTCACAGCCTACAGGGTGTTGTACACTGTCTGGTATCACTAAATACTAATTCATTCTCTGCTGGTTTCCTAGCAAAAACTACCATTTGTTATTTTGTACAGATTGAATATCCCACATTATTAGTGAGCTTTAAAGGTGCTGGTAGGGTGATTTGTTACCTTCAGACTGAGCTAGGCTAGCTGTTTCCTCTTGCTTCCAGTCTTTGTGCTAAGCTAGGTTAATTACCTCCTGCTTATTTAAATGTACAACCCTGAGATTGATTTCTCTTCTCAGCAAGAAAGCAAAAGAGTGTATTTCCCCAAAACTTTTATTATATCGTGGTTTCTCCGTGTTTTCTCGAAGGACACATAGAGGTGTTTTCTTATCTGACTCTCATATCAAATATTTTTTTGTGTGTGCCTTCCAAAAACGACTTTGTTAGTTTTTCTTTTTTAGTAAGGTCATTTTGGGGTCAAAATGATTACCTTGTTATGGTCCTAGGTCCTTTGTTGTCATGGTTACAATAATAAACACATGGTTGAGGTTGGGGAATGATCGTGGTCATGCTTAAAAAAAACCAACATTGACTCACGTTGCGGTCAGGCCTGCGATTAGAGAGGGACAAACTTGGGACAAATTAGGCCCCCCATCCACACCCACCCTTAGCTCTAATACCAACACTGGCAATTACAAGTAAGCTCTCGGCTATTAGCCTCCAGCAGGTTGCAATATCATAGCAGGGCAGTGCAGCAGTGTTTTTTTTAATGTTTAATGAACATGCTGATGTGAAGTTAAGCTAGCTAAAGTTTTATTTGTCTGCCTTGCTCCTAACCTTTGTCACATTCAGGTTCGACTCTCACACCTGGTGCTGCTTTGCTTTTTTTGCCTCTCTGCTCCTTTCATTTTTAATCTCTCTCTATAGCCTGGCTCCTCTTTTTTGAGCCCCTGATTTTTGGTGAGGCGTATTGACTTAACTAAAGATACTGTTAAATGTTTTTATTATGTAAATACATATCAATTGTGTTATCAGTGATATAAGTTAGAAAGCAAATTGTTGTTCTTGATCCTATTTAAGGGATACATCATACACGTTTGCATGGGCCCCCCTGGGCCATTGGGCTGGGGTCATCTGTACCCTTTGACCTCCCCTGAGGGGCGAGCCTCGATGCAGTCCTCCTTTTCTCCAGTTATTATTACTACACTTGCTAGCGGACTGTGTAACTTGAGCTTGTTTTTGGTCCACTGAATTTTGTGAGGACAGTCTCAGCTAGTGCTGTATTCTCCTGGTAATTCATTAAACATCAACTTTTATGTGGACCTCTAACTGCATCTAATACCCGACTCTTAATTGAATTGTATCACATTATTGTACGCCGCTCCAACACAATCCGGCTTCCCAGTTTATAAGAATAGTGGAGCAGTGGGAAAGTGAGTCTAAAACTAAAGTCTAAACCATATTTAGTTTGTGACTTGCTCCTGCAGAGAATGGTAGATGTAGTCAGCTTGTATTCAGCTTGAGCCTCAATGGCGACTCAGAGCCACGGCAAGAAATATTTTAGATTTACCAAAAAAATCTACAGAAGCTTCTCAGACATGCAGCATAACCCACTTCCCTGCAGTTATTGGGAAAATATTTGAAGGAGGTTAAGACAAGATTCTGTATTTTAGTTGTTGTCAACAAACCAACAAAGCCTTTGTTACAACCTCCCCTGGGATACTTAACCAAAGCCTCTCCGTTCCTACTGAAGACACATCTTTAAAAATGGGTCACTTTATAACTAGATTTCATAGAGAGGCTTAATAATTTCTTAAAACAGCTGAGCACTGTTGATTTCAACAAACATTACTCAAACAGCTGTACAGTGCATTGGTTGGGGGCTATTTACATCTGTGGCTTTGGTGGAGTGGTTAGTATTTAAGGCAGCCGGGTGGTGTTTGTGGCATTGTCTCAAAATAAAATGTAGTGTCTGTGTTAGTCATATTTTAGAAACATGTCATGGTGTGGCTCCAATGGAGGTCTGTGACAAACAGAGAAATAAGCTTTGGCACTTGTTAGTAAGATCAAGTTGTTGATGTTTTGGTCTTTTTTATGGGATTTGTTAGCAATTTAAAAAATGCAACGTATCCTTTAAGCAAAGCTGATCACCTAATTTATATAACACTGCTGTCATCTTATGAATTTAATAGCTTATTTTTCATCATTAAAAAAAATGGTTCATCTAACATTTCCTCATACAGTATTTGATGCTGTGAGATATTTTATAAGCTAGCATCAAAACACAGTAAAGTACCAGAAAAAACACCATTAAACTTTACTGACCTGCTGGTGTGTCAGTAAGTACAAACTCTGCTAAACAATGTTCAAACCCACAAAACACTGTTTTAAATTCTAGTGGAAATCCCATATTTTTCAAATATGCCATTTTGTCTACAAATGATGCACAAACTCTCTATAATGATTCCATTTCTAAAATAATGGCGTCTTGAATATTTCACTCAGTGTAAACAGAATAACTCAAACAAACTGATACACAATACATTTGATACTGTCAGACAATGTGGAATACGAGG